AGAGAGAAACAGAGAGAGACAGAAAGATGTACAGCAACAACAGTGCACAGACTTCTCCTGCTGCAACATCAGCGATAGTAGTTGAGCCTCTTCACCAGGACATCTTCAGTGTAACCCTGTCTAACCTTTTCCTGGTTAAATCAGACCATGTGGTCTCCAATGATGGACTAGCAAGAGCATGGAGATGAAAACAGCAGAAACCTACTACCTCCATCACCACCTCTCGTGGGCAGAGCCATTTGGAGCAAGGAGCCTCCTGCTGGTGCTCTCTCAGACTCCTGCCGTACTTCTAAGCCTGCCTAATGATCTTGGGATGTCTGTAGGTTATAGTCATTCAAAATTCTCATTCAACACAGAGACACAACACAGAGACATCCCAAGCACTGTACCCAAACTGAAATAAACATGTGCCATATATGACTCACTGAAACTGAGGAGGGATGGCTGAGCAGCCTTCTGGCCTCAAATTCAACGTCCTTCATCTTCATTCTGTTGGTCTCTTCCCACACCTGCAACAAGGCATGAGATCTGATTAGAAGATCTGACTCATTTACAAAATGAATCAACAGTAGTCAAACTACTGTCGAGAATTTTCCAGATTTTCCTTATCAGCTTGAGAGGAAGCCTGGCTTCAGTATCAGTCCTCCAGTTCAAAATCCCAGAGCCTTCAAACTAAAAGAAAACACAAGCTTCATCTTCACTGTTCCTCTCTTCCTCATTACAGTGGTCTGTTGAAGAAAGGTGTGATTGTGCACTTATCCAAATTACTCAAACTTATTAGCCTTTGTTAATCCTGTTAAGCCAGGATGCACTGACTAGGCTAGATCAAGCCTTGATTTTTCAGTTATCCTGCATTTCTTAATTCTGCTTTTGTGAAACCACCCCCCAGGTGTAGTACTGCACTGTGTGTGTGTCGGTGCTCTCCTCCATCAGCAGATCACTCATATCTTCAGCAGTCACCTCAGATGGTAACTGTTTCACACAACATACAAGGGATCACATGTCTTTATCAGTCCCTCCATGAAGTTGCAATGTTGCAATTGCAATACTTAAAGCTAATTCAGCCATTCAGTGCAATTTTGTACACACAACTTTTCCACAAATGTTACCAATAATTGTAGTTTCACCAATCATA